ACTACTAGTACTAGTACTAGTACCCGTACCATGGGTACTAATACTGATAATTATTATTGTATCAGCCCCAGAAAAACGAACCATGTGTTTTGCCTGAAGTCTTCATGGCACCGAGGACACTTTGCCGACAGACAACACCAGCAACTGTAACTGTAACTTGCCTCAGAAAGATGATTGGGCAGAAATCAAATTTCCACCAGTTGTAGTCTTCGAGGTGCTGACTGCTGAGTCGAATGGTCTTGGTCCGAGGAAGCTGAGACGCTCCCTTCCTCTTTTATTGCCATAACCGACCATTCACCAAAATGACAATAATTCACTGAAAAACACTTCACCGCAAGACAAGTCACAGAATGGACAACCCACCGACTGGACACTTTACCGAAAGACACTTCACAGAAAGGCATTTGACAGAATGGCGATACATGTATCAGGGACAAGACAGCTCACCGAAATTCCACTGTAATGACTGGTTTGTAGTCACGCTATTAAACTAACTTTACCTCTCAGGTTTATCTTTGCTAGCTTGCTTGCTTGCCTGTATTGCTGAGGGAATAATTATAATTATGCTGGTTTGTATTTGTGGGTCCCCATGGTGCCTGGGCCACGCGTACTCATCCGGCGAATATGTTTGAATAATAACTTACTTCACAGGCTCTCAGTTTGGCAGCGCTGAAAATCTTGCGCTGACGTACTGGCGCTGGTTGTACGTAACGTCGTTATTTGGCTTAACCCACCTTTCAGTGCGAAATGCCACACTGATATTCACACTCCGGAATTCCACACTGATATCTATGAATGGAGTTGTCATTCTGTGCAGATTGTCAAATTTCATTGTCTTTTTATTTAAAAAAATTGTTTGTTTTGTTTTCTTTTTCTTTAGTTGTTGTGTCAGGCCAGTGATATCATGGTCTGTGATTTCCCGTATAAGAGACATACCGGTATTCAAAAAGTACTTCAAAAAGAAGTATATCTATGCGATATCAGTGCACGTCGATGCGTTCTTCTTTCCACTGGTATACGCACTTTTGCCCAACAACACGCCAGCGATATATGAGTCAATGACAAGATAATTATAATTCATTAATGCGGCCAGTGAGCTAAAGCACGACACTCCGTGACAAATTGGTGTTGGCTGGCACCCGATCCACCGCGTCCAATATTGTTCACTTTATGGTCCCATTAAAATTAAATCTTTCTTTTGTATACTACTAGCACACATGTAGTAACCATGTCAACAATTATTATATTTTACATTCTCTCATGCATGTTTATACATTCTTATTTGGGTATAGTCATACGGTACATACCCCCCCCCCCCCCAACACACACACACACTGCTACTACTACTACTACTACTACTACTACTACTACTACTACTACTACTACTACTACTACTACTACTACTACTACTACTACTACTACTACTACTACTACTACTACTACTACTACTACTACTACTACTACTACTACTACTACTACTACTACTACTACTACTACTACTACTACTACTACTACTACTACTACTACTACTACTACTACTACTACTACTACTACTACTACTACTACTACTACTACTACTACTACTACTACTACTACTACTACTACTACTACTACTACTACTACTACTACTACTACTACTACTACTACTACTACTACTACTACTACTACTACTACTACTACTACTACTACTACTACTACTACTACTACTACTACTACTACTACTACTACTACTACTACTACTACTACTACTACTACTACTACTACTACTACTACTACTACTACTACTACTACTACTACTACTACTACTACTACTACTACTACTACTACTACTACTACTACTACTACTACTACTACTACTACTACTACTACTACTACTACTACTACTACTACTACTACTACTACTACTACTACTACTACTACTACTACTACTACTACTACTACTACTACTACTACTACTACTACTACTACTACTACTACTACTACTACTACTACTACTACTACTACTACTACTACTACTACTACTACTACTACTACTACTACTACTACTACTACTACTACTACTACTACTACTACTACTACTACTACTACTACTACTACTACTACTACTACTACTACTACTACTACTACTACTACTACTACTACTACTACTACTACTACTACTACTACTACTACTACTACTACTACTACTACTACTACTACTACTACTACTACTACTACTACTACTACTACTACTACTACTACTACTACTACTACTACTACTACTACTACTACTACTACTACTACTACTACTACTACTACTACTACTACTACTACTACTACTACTACTACTACTACTACTACTACTACTACTACTACTACTACTACTACTACTACTACTACTACTACTACTACTACTACTACTACTACTACTACTACTACTACTACTACTACTACTACTACTACTACTACTACTACTACTACTACTACTACTACTACTACTACTACTACTACTACTACTACTACTACTACTACTACTACTACTACTACTACTACTACTACTACTACTACTACTACTACTACTACTACTACTACTACTACTACTACTACTACTACTACTACTACTACTACTACTACTACTACTACTACTACTACTACTACTACTACTACTACTACTACTACTACTACTACTACTACTACTACTACTACTACTACTACTACTACTACTACTACTACTACTACTACTACTACTACTACTACTACTACTACTACTACTACTACTACTACTACTACTACTACTACTACTACTACTACTACTACTACTACTACTACTACTACTACTACTACTACTACTACTACTACTACTACTACTACTACTACTACTACTACTACTACTACTACTACTACTACTACTACTACTACTACTACTACTACTACTACTACTACTACTACTACTACTACTACTACTACTACTACTACTACTACTACTACTACTACTACTACTACTACTACTACTACTACTACTACTACTACTACTACTACTACTACTACTACTACTACTACTACTACTACTACTACTACTACTACTACTACTACTACTACTACTACTACTACTACTACTACTACTACTACTACTACTACTACTACTACTACTACTACTACTACTACTACTACTACTACTACTACTACTACTACTACTACTACTACTACTACTACTACTACTACTACTACTACTACTACTACTACTACTACTACTACTACTACTACTACTACTACTACTACTACTACTACTACTACTACTACTACTACTACTACTACTACTACTACTACTACTACTACTACTACTACTACTACTACTACTACTACTACTACTACTACTACTACTACTACTACTACTACTACTACTACTACTACTACTACTACTACTACTACTACTACTACTACTACTACTACTACTACTACTACTACTACTACTACTACTACTACTACTACTACTACTACTACTACTACTACTACTACTACTACTACTACTACTACTACTACTACTACTACTACTACTACTACTACTACTACTACTACTACTACTACTACTACTACTACTACTACTACTACTACTACTACTACTACTACTACTACTACTACTACTACTACTACTACTACTACTACTACTACTACTACTACTACTACTACTACTACTACTACTACTACTACTACTACTACTACTACTACTACTACTACTACTACTACTACTACTACTACTACTACTACTACTACTACTACTACTACTACTACTACTACTACTACTACTACTACTACTACTACTACTACTACTACTACTACTACTACTACTACTACTACTACTACTACTACTACTACTACTACTACTACTACTACTACTACTACTACTACTACTACTACTACTACTACTACTACTACTACTACTACTACTACTACTACTACTACTACTACTACTACTACTACTACTACTACTACTACTACTACTACTACTACTACTACTACTACTACTACTACTACTACTACTACTACTACTACTACTACTACTACTACTACTACTACTACTATAGCATGACTGCCCCATAGGGCCACCGCACATCGGTGTCTAAAGCTTGATTCACATGAAGTCTTCATTTCGTGTACGGGAAACGCGTCGCAGCATCGCGAAAACATTGACTTGAGCTCAACGTCTTGGGTAATTGCGCGATGATTTTCCAGTACGCGAAATGAGGTATGAATCAGCTTTAACAGCACAGAGGTCACGTGACCAGCATGACGCTACACTGTCCACTGAACAATGCAGTGTGCCAGTACACAAACCAGTCTACAGTGTGGAGATATTGAACTACACAAGTACTCGAGTACCGTACTCAGTTTAATGATAATAATATACAGTCATGAATTGGAGAACAGCATCCAGTTTTACTATCACTAGTATCAGCTATATGTGGCAAGAGAAGTAGTCAAACACATCACTGGTAATAACATATTATCACCTGAGTTATGGGAAACAGTAGGAAGAAAACGGGTGCAGAATGCAGTGGAAAATAATAATTTTATGTAGTCCATTGCATGGACAGCAGCAAAAACGAGGTCAGTAGTTATAATAGTGCAACATGGATACGCAGACGAGTATTTGTGTATGAATGTGATCATGAACAAACACACTCATCAAGTACCGGTAAACCATGGTCTTTTCATTTCTCTAGTGAAATTGAAGTAGTCACCAGCAGTTATTACCGCAAGAAAATATCATGAAAACTTGCCTAGCCTAGCTGTGTGTAACATTTAAAATACACAATGATATGTGTGGTTGGGGAAGGATGTAGGGGGAGGGGTGATAAGGGGGAGGGGGAGGGGTGATAACGGGAGGGGTGATAAGGGGGAGGGGGTGATAGGGGGAGGGGTGATAAGGGGGAGGGGGTGATAGGGGGAGGGGTGATAAGGGGGAGGGGTGATAAGGGGAGGGGTGATAAGGGGAGGGGTGATAAGGGGAGGGGTGATAAGGGGAGGGGTGATAAGGAGGAGGGGAGGGGAGGGGGAGGGATGATAAGGGGGAGGGGTGATAAGGGAGGGGGGACAACGTTACTTCTCCAACAAGGAAGGTAGCAGTTTCAAGATCAAAATAAAACAATTGAGAAGAGAACAATTTTGATGAAATGGATATGTTCCATCTTCATTCACCTTGTGTACTGTCTGAACAGATGGACATGTACAATGTACATCTTGACAATCCTCTGCATTCTCTGCATTCAACACAATCATACAGAAGACAACAAAACAATGACATCATCGTATTACATCATCACCGACCAGATGACTTGATACTTGAAATCATGATTACATAGCAGGAACTACCAGCACCAGTTTGTATGCTTGTTTTTAAAAGATGACAGCATTGGCAGGTTACAAAGAACAAACATTAATTTCTGCATTTCCTGCATCTCAGCAAGAAGGGCATACCGATGTATACACGATGATTTGACTGTGCATGGATGGATAGCAGTACTTGAAAGATAGCACCGGTCTCAGCACCGGTCTCAGCTACTACACTTCCTGTTCTCTGGTACCCGACAGTAGATGGGTTGTGCACAACGAAAATTCGTAAGACCATGCCCGTCCGGGTTCGAGAAACGAAAGTTGCCGCGAAAATTCGGCCAAACGCGACCGAAACAGAGCAGATCTACGAAACTAGTTTTCGTCATATGGAGTAAGTAAAAAAGTAAATTATCGTGTCCATTCCCGAATGGAACTCATGACGGCCGCTAACACCCTGTAAACCCTAGCGCTGCAACCCACAGTCAAACGGGGAACTGGTGGCCAGGCACAAAGGGATACATTGATGCAGCTAATGGCGTTTCTCGTCACTTGTACCAGTGGTTGTGAGACTTATCCACTCACCCCCACCGTCCTATGAAGTACATTGTACATACTACTCCCTGTCTTCACTCTCTTCGTACCCGCAGCGCTAGCATCGAACCAATACGAAAAAGTCCGTACGGTGTGCGCAACCTCAAGGCTAACGAATACCGTACTCCTTGAATTGTTTCCTTAAGTTAAAAAATTTCGTTACCGGGGAGGGGGGGGGGGGTACTTGGACCCGTTTGAAAACAGAACACGGGATCACTTGTAAACTGGTTGGGAGTATTGTACATGACATGTGGAGTACTGCAGGCACATGCAGTTACGTGGGCAGAGTGTCCAGTGTACATTGTCTATACATATACAGCTGGGAGTAGTATAGTGTTGCTAATGTGTGTACAGTGTTGCTAATGTGTGTACAGTGTTGCTAATGTGTGTACAGTGTTGCTAATGTGTGTACAGTGTTGCTAATGTGTGTACAGTGTTGCTAATGTGTGTACAGTGTTGCTAATGTGTGTACAGTGTTGCTAATGTGTGTACAGTGTTGCTAATGTGTGTACAGTGTTGCTAATGTGTGTACAGTGTTGCTAATGTGTGTACAGTGTTGCTAATGTGTGTACAGTGTTGCTAATGTGTGTACAGTGTTGCTAATGTGTGTACAGTGTTGCTAATGTGTGCACAGTGTTGCTAATGTGTGTATAGTGTTGCTAATGTGTGTACAGTGTTGCTAATGTGTGTACAGTGTTGCTAATGTGTGTACAGTGTTGCTAATGTGTGTACAGTGTTGCTAATGTGTGTACAGTGTTGCTAATGTGTGTACAGTGTTGCTAATGTGTGTACAGTGTTGCTAATGTGTGTACAGTGTTGCTAATGTGTGTACAGTGTTGCTAATGTGTGTACAGTGTTGCTAATGTGTGTACAGTGTTGCTAATGTGTGTACAGTGTTGCTAATGTGTGTACAGTGTTGCTAATGTGTGTACAGTGTTGCTAATGTGTGTACAGTGTTGCTAATGTGTGTACAGTGTTGCTAATGTGTGTACAGTGTTGCTAATGTGTGTACAGTGTTGCTAATGTGTGTACAGTGTTGCTAATGTGTGTACAGTGTTGCTAATGTGTGTACAGTGTTGCTAATGTGTGTACAGTGTTGCTAATGTGTGTACAGTGTTGCTAATGTGTGTACAGTGTTGCTAATGTGTGTACAGTGTTGCTAATGTGTGTACAGTGTTGCTAATGTGTGTACAGTGTTGCTAATGTGTGTACAGTGTTGCTAATGTGTGTACAGTGTTGCTAATGTGTGTACAGTGTTGCTAATGTGTGTACAGTGTTGCTAATGTGTGTACAGTGTTGCTAATGTGTGTACAGTGTTGCTAATGTGTGTACAGTGTTGCTAATGTGTGTACAGTGTTGCTAATGTGTGTACAGTGTTGCTAATGTGTGTACAGTGTTGCTAATGTGTGTACAGTGTTGCTAATGTGTGTACAGTGTTGCTAATGTGTGTACAGTGTTGCTAATGTGTGTACAGTGTTGCTAATGTGTGTACAGTGTTGCTAATGTGTGTACAGTGTTGCTAATGTGTGTACAGTGTTGCTAATGTGTGTACAGTGTTGCTAATGTGTGTACAGTGTTGCTAATGTGTGTACAGTGTTGCTAATGTGTGTACAGTGTTGCTAATGTGTGTACAGTGTTGCTAATGTGTGTACAGTGTTGCTAATGTGTGTACAGTGTTGCTAATGTGTGTACAGTGTTGCTAATGTGTGTACAGTGTTGCTAATGTGTGTACAGTGTTGCTAATGTGTGTACAGTGTTGCTAATGTGTGTACAGTGTTGCTAATGTGTGTACAGTGTTGCTAATGTGTGTACAGTGTTGCTAATGTGTGTACAGTGTTGCTAATGTGTGTACAGTGTTGCTAATGTGTGTACAGTGTTGCTAATGTGTGTACAGTGTTGCTAATGTGTGTACAGTGTTGCTAATGTGTGTACAGTGTTGCTAATGTGTGTACAGTGTTGCTAATGTGTGTATAGTGCTGGTAATGTGTGTACAGTGTTGCTAATGTGTGTACAGTGTTGCTAATGTGTGTACAGTGTTGCTAATGTGTGTACAGTGTTGCTAATGTGTGTACAGTGTTGCTAATGTGTGTACAGTGTTGCTAATGTGTGTATAGTGCTGGTAATGTGTGTACAGTGTTGCTAATGTGTGTACAGTGTTGCTAATGTGTGTACAGTGTTGCTAATGTGTGTACAGTGTTGCTAATGTGTGTACAGTGTTGCTAATGTGTGTACAGTGTTGCTAATGTGTGTACAGTGCTGGTAGTGGTTGACAAGAGCAGTTCTGTATAGACATACACACATCAGCAGAAAACCTTACCTTCTAGTAATGAACAGTAGCCAGTAATGTTCAGGTCTCCTACACCAGCAACCTCATCATCCACAACACAGGTAACCATAACAACAGCACCTGCAGAAACATGAGCCATGGCAGGCCCAGCAACAGCCGCAGAAACAGCAGCAACAACAACAAAGGCAGCGATAACAGCCGCAGAAACAGCAGCAACAACAACAAAGGCAGCGATAACAGCCGCAAAAACAGCAGCAACAACAACAAAGGCAGCGATAACAGCCGCAGAAACAGCAGCAACAACAACAAAGGCAGCGATAACAGCCGCAGAAACAGCAGCAACAACAACAAAGGCAGCGATAACAGCTGCAGAAACAGCAACAACAACAACAGGAGAAAGAAGGCACCGAGTTAGCAACAGCATCAACAGCAATAACAGCCACAGCAACATCAGGTGCAACAGCAACAGCATTGTGCAGGCGGATAAGCAGAGTTGCAGGTGAAGGCATACACACACACACACACACACACACACACACACACACACACACACACACACACACACACACACACATACGTAGGTGTACACACAGTGCTGTATGAAGGAGCGGTCTAAACATTCATAGTTCAACACTCCAGGTCATGATGCATGGACAACACACGGAGTAAAGCATATGAGAGAATGAGATGAGTAGAAAGGCATTTTCGAAATAAAGTCATTCCAATGTGCACCATACTGACTACAATACAATGATATTGGATTTTGACTCCTGGGATAGGGGAGGGGAGGGGGGGGGGGGTGGGGGGTGGGGAGGGGAGTGCTAAGTGGAGAAAGCGTTCATCATGGCATCCGGTGTAGCAGTTTCCGACGAGGTCAAGGCCGCTTGGAATGACATCAAGCTGCGCAAGAAGGTCCGTTACTACCTTCTCAAGCTCAGTGATGACTTAACTTGATAAGATGTGTCAGGGAATATAATTACAAACAAACTGTACCTTTCCAATATGAACCATCCAGTCTTCTGTTCAGTCACCCAAACAAACAAATCATTTCCACAACTAGAAGATGTCCTGCAAGACCATGGCAGAAGCACCTACAGCAGTAGCAGCAAACACAGCCATGTGTCGAGAAATCACCTCTGAACCACCAACAACAGCAAATCTAGTAGCAACAACAGCAGCAACAATAGCTGCAGCGAGAATAATAGCAGCAACAACAGCAAGTCTTGTAGCAACAACAGCAGCAAACATAGCTGCAACAATAGCTTATTGGCGATGGTACCATCGTGAGAATAAAGAATTGAAATAGCTGCAACAACAGCAAAGACTAATAGCACCAACAGTAGAAACAACAGCAGCAGCAAAGAAAATAACAGCGGCAGCAAAGAAAATAACAGCAGCAGCAAAAGCAGCAGCAGCAACAGCGACAACAGCAACAGAAACAGCAACAACAACAGCAAGAGCAGCAGCAGCAACAGCAGCAACAACAGTAGCAGCAGCGACAGCAGCCACAACAGCAGCAGCAACAACCACAACAGCAGCAGCGACAGCGGCCACAAAAATAGCAGCAGCAACAGCAGCAACAACAGCAGCAGCAACAGCAGCAATGCAAACACCAGAAACAGCAGGAATAACAATAACAACGGCAGCAGCAGAAGCGGATACAACAGCAATAGTAGCAACAGAAGAAGCAGCAGCAACAGCAACCGTAGCAACAGCAGACACAGCGACCACAGCAGCAAGGGTAGGAACAGCAATAGCAGACACAGCAGCAATACCAACAGCAGGAATAGCAGCGACAGCAGCAACAACAAC